ATACAGCTTCTCGAATCCAGCTTCTCGATAAACAGGTTCTCGATATTCAATATCGAAAACTGGTTCTCGATAGAACTTCTCGAACTTTAGTTTTGGAACTATTTCCTGAATTAGGTTTTCGACATTCTGCACCTTAAATTTTTTTCTGATCAAAACACTCGACCGATCTTTTAAGTAAAACAGCAAAGATGGAAGCATTGGCACTTGGAAATGAGAACCGACCCCCAATCTTGAGAAGAGGAGAATATCAGATGTGGAAAACAAGGTTCTTAAACTTTCTGGAAGGGAAAGACAGCTCATCTGCAATGCTGGAATCGCTTACTGAAGGACCAACACAATTTTGGGTAGATGTGACAACAGATGGTGTGAGCAATCCTCCAGTTGCTGTTGAAAGAAGGTTGAAAGCAAAGTCTGAGTACACTGAAGCAGACAGACTCAGAGTCAAGGCAGATCTGATGGCTAAGACTTACCTACTCCAGGCTATTCCAAATGATATATACATTTTGATTGACAGTATGGAAACAGCCAAGGAGATGTGGGACGAGATAAAGAAGCTGATGATTGGAACTGAGTTGGGATTGAAGACGAAGAAAGCCAACATCCTGACTGCCTATGATGGATTCAAGGCCCTACCTGGTGAGGCGCTCCATGAAACATACAACAGATTTGTACAACTGATCAATGAGATGAGAAAGATCAAGGTTGTCAAATCAAACATGGAAATGAACATACGCTTCTTGTCGAGCCTGCCACCAGAATGGAGAAGAACTGTGAAGAACCTACGTCAACATCTGGATTTGGATGAACTTGATCTGTGTACAGTGTATGAGCACCTTCAACAGTTTGTGAATGACACTGCTGACATGGAAGGAAGTTACTCTGGCAATCCATTAGCACTGATGATGGAAGCTCAACCCAAGAGTTCATCCAAAGTTCAGAAGAAGAAGAAGACAGTTGTTGTGATGTCTGATGAGGAAGAAAGTGAAGAAGAAGTGGATGTAGAGTCAGAACTGGCCGAACTGCAGAAGAAAATGGCCCTGCTGACCAACCAATTTAATAAACGATTTCCAAAGAAAGGAAACTCATCCAACAAGCTACGAACCTCCTCTGCCAACTACAAAACAAAGAACAATGATCAGAACTCTTCTAGTAGAGCTGTTGCAGCAGAAGATCCCCCCAAATGCTTCAACTGTGGAAAAGCTGGACATGTCATCAAAGACTGTCGCTTGCCAAGGAAGAGGGACTTCAACTATTACAAGCAGAAGATGCTATGGAACAAACAGAAGATGTTCATGGCCAAGCAAGAAGATGATAGTGCTGCAACACTCATATATTTTTGTTATGAAAAAGCTAAGCCAAGGAATTTCATTTGTGTGCTAAAGATTTGTCTTCATATATTTTAGCATAGAAAATTCTAAATTTTGTAGCCTAAAGCCTTTGCCCACAAGGTTTGCGTCACAAATCACACCACAAATAAATGTTGTATGGAAAGACGTTAGAATACAAAAAATGATCTTTCCATACCAATACGATTTGTAGGGAAAGTGTAACTTTCTTGTAGTGATTGCCACCGTCCTTGGCCGGTTCTACCTCTACCACTCCCTCGGCCTACTCGACGGTACATCCTCTTGCACAATTACTCACTTATGATAAATTTTCTCTAACCCACCGTGCATTTTTATCTTCCATCACATCTCGTGATGAGCCAAAATATTTTTCTCAAGCTATCAGGGATCCTTTATGGCGAGAGGCAACGCAAAAGGAAGTCCAGGCACTCGAAGCAAATGGCACATGGGAGTTGGTTTCATTACCACCTGGCAAAAAAATTGTTGACTCTAAATGAGTCTACAAAATTAAATACAAACCAAATGGTGACGTGGAGCGATATAAAGCTCGGCTTGTTGCGAAGGGTTTTACCCAAATTGAAGGTGTGGATTTTCACGAGACCTTTGCACCTGTGGCCAAATTAGTCATTGTGCGTTGCCTTCTCACGGTTGCGGCTACAAATAATTGGATTGTCCATCAGCTCGACGTCAACAATGCTTTCTTGCATGGCGATCTTCATGAAGATGTCTACATGCGTATTCCGCAAGGGTTTGCTAAACCAGGGGATCATCGTGTTTGTAAGCTCAAAAAATCCCTATATGGGCTTCGGCAGGCATCACGCAATTGGTACCAAAAAATCACTCATGCTCTTGGTTCTATTGGATTTCGCCAATCTCGGGCCGATCACTCCCTCTTTATTTACCGCCATGACGATATATATACTGCCGCTCTTATTTATGTTGACGACGTTTTACTTGCCGGAAATAATCTAGCACATATTACTCACATCAAGACCTATCTTGATAATAAATTCATTATCAAGGATCTTGGCCCGCTCAAATACTTTCTTGGGATCGAAGTGGCTCGCTCTCCTGAAGGTTTCGTTCTCAGCCAACGTAAATATACGTTAGACATCTTAGCCGAAAGTGGGATGCGTGGCAGTCGACTGAGTTCATTCCCGATGGAACAAAACCTCAAATTCCGCTCTGAGGATGATAGTCCTCTCATTGATGCATCTATGTACCGACGCTTGATTGGCCGCTTATTATATCTCACTGTGACACGTCCAGATATAGTTTTTTCCGTTAATCAATTAGGTCAATTCCTCTCTCAACCGCGCCAACTTCATTATTCTGCGACAACCAAGCTGCTCATCACACTGCACTTAATCTTGTCTATCATGAGCGCAACGCACAAAACATGTTGAAATGGATTGTTATTTTGTCCGTGAACGTGTCTCTAGCCGGGAAATCCAACCTCAGCCCATATCTACTAACTTCCAAGTGGCCGACATTTTCACTAAAGCTCTTGGTGCCGATCATTTTCACTTTTTACGTAGCAAGTTGGGTGTTCGGGATCTCCACACTCCAACTTGAGGGGGAGTATTACGTGAATTATATTTTGGTAACACAAAATATAATTCAAATCACTACTTTGAAGGCTACCGTTACACGAAGATCCGCATGCACATGGGTGGAGACAAGGAGGGGCTGGAGGTGGCCACGGTTCCTGCAAGAAAAAAAATCTTAAGTATATATTATGTATAAATACTTTTAATCTGTAGAAAGTATGTTGATATTTTAAACTTTGGCCTCTGCAATATAAAATTCTTAAGGACCGGCCCCTATAACCATAAATGTCTGGCTCCGCCACTGCGGATGCATGTGTTACGTGAAGCATCATTATGGACAAGGAGATTTTTCTAGACTTTTTCCATATATGTCATTATTTGTTCCCTTATTTAACTTGTGAATATTCTTTCCTTATTTTATGGGGAAAATAATTAAAATACCCAAAACTTTGAAGGGGTGTGAGATGAGCACCCTAAACTTGCATATATAATTTAAATACCCCAAACTTTGTATAAAAAGTTATTTTAGCACCATAGTCAAATATTATTTTTTTCAAAAATGTAAATTTATGATGTTAATTGCATAATTTAAAATATTTTAGAATTCATGAAGACACAATCAACATTCCAAACTTCCATTGCGAAATAAATAATGTTACTCCCGATCTATATAATTGCAACACTTTTAATTTGCTATTTTAAATTATGCAATTAACCCCATAAATTTACATTTTTGAAAGAAAAAATGCATGACAATAGTGCAAAAATAAATTTTTATATAAAGTTTGGGATATTTAAATTACATATGCAAGTTTGGGGTGTTTACTTCACACCCCTTCAAAGTTTGGGGTAATTTTATTATTTTTCCCTTATTTTATTTACACCGTATGTATGTATATATGCACAGACCATTCATACGAATTGTATATGAACACTAGTAATAATACACTTCGTCTTACTTCTCGGTTTGCAATAATTCTACACTTTAATTTAATCATATAGGATCGGCTGAATAGCAACGCTATGTCTGATAACGTTTTCTTACTTGATACGGAGTATTTTTTCCAAACAGGGCTATTTTAGATGTATTAGCCGAACTTGAATAATTTCAGTCAATTAAGAGCAGGATGTTGACGTTGTTGCCGAACACAGTCTTGAACACAGTCTTAGGCTATCTGTCACAACGAGCTGAAACTGGAGACTAATATCTGAATTAGAGACTATGGTCTGAATGAAAGCCTATTGGCTGAATCTGAATTTTGAAGTGTTGAATCTGAATTACTAGCTAAATAGAATAGAGTCGTTTGGCAAAAAAAGCTAAACAAATGCCGAATTATATGAAATACATTAAAAGACATACTCCCTCCGTATTTTTTTGTTTGCTACAATAGGTGTTGACACATTTTTTAAGAGTGAAATAGTAGGGGTAATGAATAGTATAGAAAAAGTAGGAGAGATGGTGGAAAAGTATGAAAGAGAAGATAAAAAGTAGAAAAAACAAGGGATAGTTGAGTATTTTTAAAGGAAAAACTTACGAAAAAGGGAAATTGTAGCAATTTTTTGAATACATCCAAAAAAGAAAAATGTAGCAAACAAAAAAATATGGAGAGAGTATGAAGTCATAATGTACAAATAATTAGAAAAAACCGACTAAAATATACTTTGTAGATTTTACATTGCTAGTTTTTTTTTCCTTTTTCTATTTTAACAATTTTCAATGAATTTTTGAAGATAACTGCGCAGTTAAACAACGCGGTATATTTCAAAAATTTATTTGATCATCTTTCCGGTTGAATTTTTATCTGAAATTTGCTATGAATAAAAAACTAGGAGATATTATCCAAAATGGGACTAAAAATGTTTGGAAATTCCAAAATAGGACTGTCATGTTTTTATTCCCAAAATAGGACTAATTACTGTCATGTTTTGTCAGTACCAGACTTCAAACATGGCAGTATTTTCCAAACTTAGCAGTAATTACTCCTATTTTGGGAATAAAAAACATGTCAGTCCTATTTTAGAATTTTCAAACTGTTTTAATCCTATTTCGGGAACTTTACCATAAACTAGACTTAAACTAAAATTTCAGTAAAATTAATTCAAGCACAAATGCATTGGCAGAAGAAAATCGCTGGTTCATTCGTTCCTCCTTCTCGCACCTGCTGCTTCTTTCTTTTCGCACAAAACCTTCCGCTTAACCCCTCTCCGTCTACGTGCACGGAATCCTCTGGTTAATTCGTCTAATCTCCTGCTTAAATATTTTAATCTTCTCGGCTTGTGACTGGGGCTCAGGTGAGAAGTTGGGATATATTTGGTCGGAGAAAATCTCCTCACCCGGTTTAGACGTGAATCAGGACAATCCCTGCCCTTCGATTCGCTCCAGGTCAACGTTTTCTTCAACGCGGGTATGTTTTCTCTCCTTACTTGATTGTAGTTCTCCAGCACATTTTGAACAACTTTTTGAAAGCCTCAGCTGTCCTTTTTACATTAGGTCTGAAACTGTAACACATTCCTATGGAGGATAAAATATGTTTTTATCCCCAATTTTTCTTATTATGATTTTTAGTGACTTTCTTTTGTTATGTAAGTATAGAATCTCTAAGTTTTGTTGGCCTTTATATATTTAAGGATAGACTTTACCATCATGAAGAGAATCATTAGGAATAGGTTAGTTTGTTTTTTCTTCTATTTTTCCATTTTCTTAACAGAATAATAAACAGAGTAATAGGTTTTATTTTCTTCTACTGTCCATGAGCATAAAATAGGGGTTGGTTCATAGCCATCTCAAGCTTGCCTTTCCTTTCTGAAACACAACAAAAAAGAGGGTCATTTGCTATGATATTATGGTTCAATCCGGTGGATCAATAGTTTGGTTCATTCTGATTTTAGTCATTCAATTATTACATTATTTAATGAAATCTAGTATTGGGTTCATTCTGATCAATTGTTCGGTTAATCTTGATTTTCATCATTCACTTATTACATTATTTAATGAAATTTAGTGTTGGGTTCATTCTGATCATTTTTTGGGTTCATTCTGATTTTAGTCATTCTGGATTAAGCTACTGATTTTTGGTCCTTTCTTGAAACTTTAATGAAATCTGTTAGTAATCTAACTAAAATTTACAGATTTAATCCTACATGATAAAACCGTCGTAGTTTACCATATTGCCATTCCTGTAGTAGTGAGAATAGTGGCAAAATCTGGTTATGCTGTGTAGACATAGAGGCAAAAGCATATACTAAATCTTACTCAGTATTCAATAAGAAGCGTTTAAGGTAAAGCCAAAAAACGCATGGAAGTTTTATACACAAAGCATGTATATGTATTATTACTACATATATATAAGTGTACAAATACACTACGCACACTAATTACCCACACAAATATGCATTGGGAATAATTTTTTTAAAACTCCAAAACATGCTTTTAGAAAAATTAAACACTTATGGGGTTACTTAACACTGTTATATTTTCAGACATCCATTTAAGGATATATAGTTACATACAAACATGCATTAAATCTCTAAGCACATAAGGATACACACATATTGTCTTACTTTAGCACATTTTAATTAAAGTTTTTACATTTGTCTACACCAAGTATAGTTCTCAAGTCTCAACGCAGAAACATGTAGTAGATTATACGCATTTAAACCAATTAAGTGATATGATATAATAATCTAGTATGAAAAATAACAAAAGCAACAAAATTATAAATACACCTTTAAGTGCATTTCAAGAACATCACCTGCTAACAATATTACAGTATGTTCCTCGACCATACTACAGATTTCAAAGACTTCACCTTTGTTAAAGAACGATATCTTCTAAGAAGTAATTTTGGCTTTCCACAATGAGTTTTTGAATTTGGGCCAGCTGGCAAAATGAGCATCTCCTTTCTTTTGAATATTGAATAATAGGTATTTTTAGCATTTGTACCATTTTTCTCTTTTATATATAGTTGTAAGTTGCAAAGATACTGCCTCTGCATATAAAAGATTGCAAGCCCAAACTTATACTCAAAGTTTAAGAGTGAAATGGTATGAGTAATTGATACTTTAGTGTGAGTAAGGCACGTACATATTTTTTTAATGAAAATATTACCCATATGGCTATAAGAGATATTTTTCAAGTATTTTTTAGTGCGAATAAGAAGGTGCTGCAGTCTTTTCAATACAGAGGGAGTAATAGTTTATGTTGGGGGTACAGGATACCCCTAAATGATAACACATTCTATAATGATTAGATACTCATTTCTGATTAGTTACAGGAGATATACATAATGGTTGTATATGGGGGGGGGGGGTGTTGAGAACTTCGAACATGTTTTCACCTTTTGGCAGTGATGTGTTCGTCAATTTTTTATGTGAGAAGGATAATGAACAAATTATATATATATATATATGGAGTTCTTTTAAAATTATAATTAATATAATCATCATTCATTTATATTCTTCAATATATACTTAAGTTTGCCATAATCTAAATATCTTAAAATTTATTAAAAATCAATACATTAAAAACAATATCCTGTGGGTCGCACGGGTATACTTCTAGTGAGGAGTGTTATCAATTATCATATTCACTATTGGAAAGTAAATACATGCTTGAAGTGTATAATATATTTATAGAAATAAAGATGTAAGTTGTGTGTTCACATCTTATTATTTTGGAAAACCTTTTATAGAAGACAAATTTGATCACAACATTTTCCGTTTTTACGTGTTGAATTGAGACATTGATATCTTCCACACTTGAACGCTCTAAGTACCAGCAACCATCTCCCGTCTCAACATCAATTATTTCCTAACAACCCAAAATCGCTAAGCCATATTAAAAAAATGAAGTTAAAGTTAAAAAATGTGTTATGTGTAAATTGTAGAAACTGTAGAAGAACATTTTTACCAAGTCATTCTGAAATAGGGATTCAGTTGTGACAATATCCTAAAATGTGAAATGTAATTGTCATTGAATTATTATAGCTCATTTTTTAATGATTACCAAATGGTTTAGATGTTCCTTGTCATCATGAAGATTGCATTCCAATGTGTTGGTCACATTATTGTTAAAGAAAGTTGGACATCCATAAGCACGCACTGACACACCAGTCTCACTTATAGTCCCCAGTTTGTCTTCAATCATTATTTACCCAGTGCCGCAAAGGCTCCCACCTATGGTGGGGTAAGGGGGGTCGGATGTACGCAGTCTTACCCTTGTACTAAAGCACAGAGAGACTGTTTCCGGATGACCCATAATGAAAATCGCGTGCAAAATTGCATGGACTGACTGTTGCTTCATAACAAAGAAGCGCAGACAGTTTGATGAGCCATTTTGCTTTATTCCATCATATTCTCAAGCCAAAAAATAATGAATCTTTGGTTCCATTGCAAATGATGGAAAAATAGTCCCCAGTTTGTCTTAGAGGTATTATTAAGCTCTTGGATTGGATTCTATTGAACAACATCATCTGACCTCGATAACACACTGTGACAATTATTCATAATTGTAATGTACTCCCTCCGTCCCGCTAAGATTGTCCCATTTTACCTTTTTGGGAAGTCCCACTAAGATTGTCCTATACCAAATTTGGTAAATATTGTGTGGCTCTAAATCATTCTTACTTTATTCTTACTTTATCAATTTAATATCAACCACACAAACCTACTTTTCTTAATAATCATGCCACATTCTTCCGTCCCAATCTTAGTGGGGCGGAGGTAGTAATAACTTAAAGAGGGCAGTTCATATCAGGAGCTCTTGAAGAGAAGCCCCGTGCGGACAAGACCATCAGAGGGTCTTCGTGGTAGAATTTTTTGATGATTTTTTTTAGCATGTCCCTTATCAAGTCTGCTTTATGCATACCAAATTTCAGCTCAAAATTCGATCGGGAAGACAGTCAAATAAATTCTTGAAACATATGGCGCATTCTGCGCACATATAATGCGCAGTATGTTTCAAGAATTTATTTGACTGCCTTCCTGATCGAATTTTGAGTTGAAATTTGGTATGAATAAACTAGACATGATAAGAAACATGCTCAAAAAATTTCATCAAAAAATTCCACCGGAAAGACCCTCTGATGGACTTGTCCGCACGGGGCTTCTCTTCAGGAGCTCCTCATATTTAAGTTATGAGGAACATGACTCATAACTTAAATATCTAAACAAAACATCTGCGTCTATGGAAAAGTGAATATGCAAAGAAAATATTGAGTAGTTAGAGTGTAGCACATACAAAAGCTTTCCTAAACTGTGTGATTAGACTAATTGCAAGAAAAAGGCTATTCATAGTTTCATAAGCCTCACTTTCTGCAGGGAATGTTGTGGAAACTATCAAAACTTACCACTAATACGTGCACGTTGTAAACTTGAAAAGTGCTGATTGGAAACTGCCTTTTAGTTTTTGCGTGTATCCATTTGTTCATATTTAACGTGTTATGGTATCTTGCATCTTTGGTCTTATATATTTTTGCTAAGATTGCGACATGTTATGGTTTTAATATTCTATGGCTCCAGACCCTTTTCCCTATCATGAATGATTTTTTCTTATACAGTTATACATATTAGATCATATTATTGACCCAAATGTGACATTTGACTTACATAAAATGTGTTCACTAATTTTTTTATATTATTAAATTTTGCAAGTGTTTTCCATCATTTGCAATGGAGCCAAAGATTCATTATTTTTTGGCTTGAGAATATGATGGAATAAAGCAAAATGACTCACTAAACTGTTTGCGCTTCTTTGTTATGAAGCAGCAGTCAGTCCATGCAATTTTGGACGTGATTTTCACTATAGGTAGCCTGCTTGCTCTACTGCTTTTTCCCGAATTATGGTGGTCCAGTTATTTTTCTCAGCGGGAATAGTTATGGCTCACGGTTCCCTTTTTTATATATGTATGTATAGATTTGGAGAGATGCACCAAATCAAAGTCTGAAATGAGTATTTCATTTGCTACTGAGGCAGTTGACCCGCGATGTGTGCACACGCAATCCATCAAATCTGGTGCCGCGGCTACTAACCGCGGGGCGCTCAACAATCTCATCACCATATACTCCAAGTCTGGCTGTCGCTCAGAAGCTGTTCGCATATTCCAGTCCATCCCCACCCCCAATGTTGTCTCATGGACTTGCCTCATCTCCACCTTTTATGACTCATTCCTCTCCTTCCACCACTTCCTTTCCATGCTCCGCCACCCAGGCCGCATCCTGCCCAACAACCGTACTTTCGCCGCCCTCCTTAAAACTTGCGCCTCCCTTTCCGCTCTCTCCTTTGGGGTGCAGGTTCACTCTTTTGCGCACAAATTGGGTCTCTCCTCTGAGCCTTTCACAGCCTCTGCACTCGTGTCTTTTTACTGTAAGATGAAGTTTCTTGACAACGCCCAGAAAGTGTTTGATGAAACACTTGATAAGGATGAGGTATGTTTCTCGTCAATGATTGTTGGTTTGGCTCAGAATTGTAGAGCCATTGAGGCTTTATCTCATTTTGTCGAGATGAAGAGGAATGGGGTGGCATCTACTACACACAGTGTTTCAGGGGCATTGCGGGCAGCTTCAGAGATGGCTATGTTTGAGCAATGCAGAATACTTCACGGGCATGCTGTAATTACGGGTTTGGATTCAAATGTCGTTGTTGGTAGTGCAATGATTGATGGGTATGGGAGATGTGGGCTTATAAGGGAAGCTCGTGCCGTGTTTGATGGACTGGGAATTTTGTTGAATGCCATAGGGTGGAGCACACTTATGTCAGCGTATGCGCAACAAGGAGATTTCAACAGCGTGGTTGAGCTTTTCGGGTCAATGCTAAGTCAAGGTATGCAGCCTGATCAGTACAGTTTCCTAGCTGTGTTGACTGCATTTTGTCACTCCGGGATGGCGGAAGAGGCGGAACGATGGTTTAGAAGTATGCGGGAAGATCACGGTTTGGAGCCATGGCTCGAGCACTACACATGTTTGATATATGCTATGGGTAAAGCCGGGCAACTGGAATCAGCTGAGATGGTTGCCTCGACTATGCCATTCAAGCCAGACGCGGCTGTGTGGCGTGCACTATTGTCAACAAGTGCATACCACGGGAAGACTGATATGGCATGGAAGATGAGAGACAGGTTGTTGGAGATCAACCCTAATGATGACTCAGCTTACGTCCTTTTAGCGAATGCATTCGCAAGTGCAGGTCGGTGGGATGAGGTGAAGCATGTGTGGAAGGCAATGAAGGAGAAGGGGATTAGGAAGGAAGGCGGGAGAAGTTGGATTGAGTTACATGGACAGATTCACGTTTTTTTGGCAGAGGACAGAACACATGTGAGGAGGGATGAGATTTATGAGAAGTTGGGAGAATTGAAGGGAGAGATTGAGAAGCTTGGGTATGTCCCTGTATGGAATGAGATGTTACATGATGTAGATGAGAAGCAAAAGACAGAAGCACTCTGGTATCACAGTGAGAAGCTAGCCCTGGCGTTTGGGCTATTGAGTGGATCAACTCCTCCCGGTAAACCGCTGAGGATAGTGAAGAATTTGAGGATATGTAGGGATTGCCATGAAGCTTTCAAGTATATTAGCAGATTAGTAGAGAGGGAGATAATTGTTAGGGATGCAAATAGATACCATACATTCTTGTGTGGCAGTTGTAGTTGTGGAGATAACTGGTAGTCTGGTAGGTAACCTATGATGCTCGGAATCTCTTAGGGAGTCATTTTCACATTTCAGAAATATTTACGTAACCTTTATTGCCACAATTTTTCATTTGAGGACAACGCTTTTCAAAGTGTGGTGATATTTGCTCTGAATCTTGACTCATCTGTAAATCAAGTAGATGAGATGAATGTGTCGCTCCAGAGTATTCCTTATCTGAATTGACTCTCAATCGTCGAACTGGACAAGTATTTGTTCTGTTCTGCTCATTTGGTGAAATTTATCTGCAAGTGTGCACCATGGTGTATCTTTATGCTTTTGTAGGTATGCATAAATATGAAGGTGAAGGCATTTCTATGGAGATAATTTAATAATGTACTACCCATTTCTGGTACCCTTGCAAGATTTAACATAAGTTGTCATTGGTGCCTATCAGACAGTTCTACACCAACAACACTTCCTAACCTTTTCCTTTTGTTATTCAGGTTTGGCAATATTTTACACCTCTCCTACAGGATGAATGCAGCATTATCCTACTCTGAACAATGTTGTTACTTACGGTGGCTTAGCTCTTCCAGATCTAATATAGTAGGGCAATATAGTGGTTTTACTTGGAGTTATTTGGTGGTTTCTTTGAAAGTCCTACTGTTCTATGAACTAGGTGGATGAGAAAATTGAAGGCTCCAAATTTATAAAGTTGTAAAGCAGTGCCTACTTGGTGTATTTTTCATTCTAAGAAGTTTGGTAGGAAGTTCATAGGGAGCCAAGGGGCTGGCCTACCAAACCTAGCATACAGCTAGATTATCAAGTGCAGGACTGCTGCTAAAAAGTAAAGCTTAATTTGCCCAAATCTTTATAAATGATGAATGCACTGGAAAGGCATTGCTCTTCAGGATTGCTGGTAGCTGCAATGGCATTCAAATCAGATGATCCTTCATGCAGAAGCGATGGCTTGATTAGCAGTCCACCTTTGTTCTGAACATAAAGGTGATAGGGAGTTAGAGGTTGACTCTCCCTCTAGAGCTCCATTTGAAATTATGATTGAAAAGCCTCCTCCTGGGCAGCTAAAGGGATTAATCGAAGTTTGTAGAGGTCTGTTTGGGATTTGGGTGAATCACGGCCAGTTTGCATCTCAATTCTTGGAAGCCAATCATGTAACTCATAGATTAGCCCTTATGCCCCTTAATCCTTATTGACAATAGAGTCGTGAATATCCTTCAGAAATATTTGAGGTATTTTTGAGAGTTTTTAGTGAAAATTTGTGCATCTTTTCTTTATAGTCTTGAAAGTATGGAAGTATTTTTTCCACATATTAGCATGATCCTGTTATTCCCAACATTTGTTTATTATTATCTACAAGCGTATCATTTTTCAATGAGAAGTTAACGTGGGGATAGAGGTAGTACTTTCGTCGTCGTCCATAAAAGAACTCAATGATGCGACATTCATATGAAATGATCATAACCCTTAATGCAACTCAAATTGGGGAAGTCATATATGTTCATTTTGGAGAATTCAAGATCGATGGACATGTTAAAATATACTCCGTATGCAAAAGTTCCATAAGGTGAAAAAATACTCCGTAATAAGGTTTTGCCTTTTCAGCATCCCTCTATCATCAAATCTTACAGAGCTAATTTTGATAAGGTCATTTGAGAAAAATTCAGCAGCTTGGGCGTTATCAAGGGAGAATGGGCTGGGCAGGTATGGCAAGAACATGAAAACAAAACTTGGACTAGAGATTGGGTAAGGGCCGCGCGAACGCAGGCCCCCGCTACCACAAATTATGACGTAGGCTCCACCACTTGGGTAGACCTTAGAATGACACCCTTCCAAAGTGCAATGGAAGTCATCAACCTAGGCCATGGGCCTTCCTGATCGCCCATTGACCCCGTCCAGGTAAGTATGTAATTCGTTGTCCCTAGTCCCGGTTTTATAAGCTCCTGCTCGCCTTCTGCTCTTCTTTGTTTACGGTGTGGGATACTTGTAACCGAATTCCCTTTCCCCCACCCAGCCATCATTAGAATGCCAACCAAATACGTAGCATGATTTTAACGAACTCCACCAAGCGCACCCACTACTTGTTGTATTAATTATAAATCACCCCTCAGCTTTTTCTTTCCCAACATCTAAATCAAATTACAATTATCATCATTCTTAATTAATTAAATGTTTACGAATTTGATTGATTTAGGGTTCTCTAAAAGGGGTGTATTGTATTAGGAATTAGTGGCAAAATTTTAAAAGTCCATGGATTTTAAAAGTTCAGGTGTACTCAATGTTGACATTTAAAAGTCTACAAAAGTCTAGGTGTATTCAATGCAGACTTTTAAAAGTCTATAAAAGTCTAGGCGTATTCAAAGTTCCGTTCATTCTTATTGACTTCTAAAATCATGGATTCTCGTGGACTTTTAACTCATTTTTAGTGCATTAATTCTCTACAATTGTCTCTTCTTCTCACTAAAGATTTCCGTGAACTTTTCTTATATCGGTTCATCATCCCGTCCCACCCCATCCCCACTCTCCCCTCCCCCCAACTCTTCTGTTCTTTAGTCAAGTCACCCCTTCCCCTTCGATCTTTCTTCTTCTTCTTCGGCCCAGCTCGCCCCACCCCTCTCCTTCCGTTCTTCTTCTTCTTCTTAAGCTTGCTGACCCCATCCCACCCTCACCCCCGATTCGTTAATCCCATATCGATTCGATTCTAGAAGTTTTTAGAAGAACCAATATAAGAATTGATACTCGATAATATTACATCAGTGCAATTCTTGTACTTCGTCAGTTAACCATTAAGATTATAAATATGTCAACTATTAATTTCTTTCATCGTTAAATCGCTAACACATAAAAATATAATTTAAAATTAATAAATATATAACCGTAAATAAGTAAAAAAAAAATTACAAGATAGAAATTAAGAGAAAACAATCATTAAGTAGAAAAGCTCGATTGTATCTATGCTTGTACCACATGCAGCAATGAGTGTAACGGTTGTTTAAAGATCAATGTTCTTAATCATTAATAAAATGACCAAAATTCTTGAGCATTCTAGAAACTTTGAGTTTTTTAATAAAATAAATTTGAATTCTTATGCTTCATTTATTCTTGTAGAACTCTGTGTTGCTATATGAATTACATTTGTTTCATTTATTTATTTATTTATTTATTTATTTACTTACTTACTTACTTACTTACTTACTTACTTACTTACTTACTTACTTACTTACTTACTTACTTACTTACTTACTTACTTACTTACTTACTTACTTACTTACTTACTTACTTACTTACTTACTTACTTACTTACTTACTTACTTACTTACTTACTTACTTACTTACTTACTTACTTACTTACTTACTTACTTACTTACTTACTTACTTACTTACTTACTTACTTACTTACTTACTTACTTACTTACTTACTTACTTACTTACTTACTTACTTACTTACTTACTTACTTACTTACTTACTTACTTACTTACTTACTTACTTACTTACTTACTTACTTACTTACTTACTTACTTACTTACTTACTTACTTACTTACTTACTTACTTACTTACTTACTTACTTACTTACTTACTTACTTACTTACTTACTTACTTACTTACTTACTTACTTACTTACTTACTTACTTACTTACTTACTTACTTACTTACTTACTTACTTACTTACTTACTTACTTACTTACTTACTTACTTACTTACTTACTTACTTACTTACTTACTTACTTACTTACTTACTTATTTATTTATTTATTATCGTGCTCCATATTATACAGATGAAATCACTCACGGTAGGACTAAAACATAACATTATTTTTAAAGTATGATTATAATTTTGATTTTCCTTAAATAGGATTAAATATTACATATTCACCCCTAATTTAATTAATTAATTAATATAATTATTTGTCCCTAGTTCCCTTTCATAACCAAAGCCATTTTGTTGGTAGCGGGTCAGTCCGATGACGACAACGGCGAACTCCTGTGGTGGAGGCTGACAAGTATATTGGTAGCGGCAATCTAGGTGAATATTCCGACGACAAGCAATGGCGTCCGCATTTAAAAGTCTATGGACTTCTTGAAAGTCAATAAACTTATCCATGGATTTAGAAGTTCCTAAAATTCATTCATAAAAAAGTCTATGGATTTAGAAGTCCCTAACATGTTCCGGTCGTTACAACGACATCTGAGCAGTTTTATGTATATAATTAGAGTTATTATTGTAATTAAGGCGTAGGTTACTCAAATGGCTGACCAGAATTGATGATGACATAATGACGATTTTGATGTCGTCGTAATGGTCGAAACATGTCGTCGTAACGGTCGAAATCGTCAACAACGGACAAAAGTGCATTAAATACCTCTCTTATAAATAGTTACAAGCTCCATGTGATCTGGGAGTACTCACATACGTACGAGCAGTTACGAATACTCAAATATTCAAGCTTTACATTGTAATTGAGGAGGATACTAAAAAGAGCCTTCTCCTTCATCATTATATATTAATTTACGTTCTTTATCAATTCTTCCATAGTCGATCTTATTTGCTTGATTCCCGATCCAATTTCATATATATTTTAGATTAGTTTATTTTGGCATAAACAGTGATTAAAAGAAGAAGAACTAGAAATAATTTTATTTTGCCTAAGACTACATAAAACTCGATCACCATAATGCCCCAGATGCTTGTGCCAGACTGGACCAAGAACAACTTGGGCTTGAAGGGCAGTGAAGGGGTATACATGGTCTTTTTTGGAAGCTTGAAGGAGGATTTCCCCCGTTTGATTGTCCTTGACAAAAAAAGAATTTTTGTTAAAAACCACTTGAAAGGCATTATTCGCACACAATTTTTGAATATATAATAAATTGTATTTAAGGTGTTGGACATGAAAAACAGAATTAAGATGTAGCGGGCGGCCATACGTAATTATTTTAGCATTACCAATATGAGAAATAGGCAATTTAGTACCATTAGCAACGCACCCTTGTTGTGGACCGGAGTAAGAAATTTTATTAGAAAGAATACCTTCATTTGAAGTCATGTGAGCAGATGCCCCTGAGTCCGGATACCAAATAGAATCATTGTTCTCACCAGTGGGTAAAGCAGCCAAGGCAGGAGTATTAGAACTAGTAAAGCGAGGACACGAAAGAGTCGAGTGACCTGGAGAAAAGCAAAGCTGACAAACCACTAGAGGAGGAGGTGACTGATAAGAATGATCCACAGCTGGGAAACCTACACTGACATTATGAGTAACACAAACAAGAAAGTAATCTGTATGACAATAACCAGAACTAACATTACCATATGCCGAACCTAAATTTCCCGAATGTGGTCCCCTCGAGTGAGCACTGGACTGGCCGTGAGTGTAAGAATGATGTCCTAAAGGAGCAACAAAGTAAGCAGGAGGTCCTCCATAACCTGTTGGAGGCTGACCGTAGCTACCATGTGGATCAGGAAACGAATGGTACTGTCCACCACGTCCTCGACCCCTGCTGCCACGAGGTCGATAGCCACCTCGATTTCCACGCCCCCATGCGGTGCCGAGCTGCTGCCAGGATGGCCTGAGTATCCGCCGCGAGAGGAGTCACTCCCCTTGGCACCCCCTCGGCCAGATTGTCCACTGGAGCCAGAAGAAGAGGCCGCAAAGGCAGGATGTGGTGGCACTGATTCCTGAGACCGAAAGTGTAAAATGCGTTGCTCTTGAGCCGAAAGAATTGAGCGAAGAGTATCCAGTGTGGCGTTACCCGGAAAATACGAGATATCAATGACCAATGACTCATACTCAAACCCCAATCCAGATATAGCATATTCAATCATCTCACGATTAGTTATAGGAGAATTTATGGCAGCTAAAGCATCGACCATGACCTTAATTTCCCTTAAATATTGATCCATGGACTGAGACTCCTTGGTTTTGATATGGGACAATAAACGCTTAAGTTCCATGGACCGGGATAGACTGGCAGCCATAAAATGTGTCTGAAGTCGTTCCCAAATTAAATAGGAAAATCGAAGGTCGTAGACTTCAATCAAAATATCCCTGGAGAGAGTGGCAAAAATCCATGATCTAACAGTTTGATCAATTTTAAGCCAATGACGATATTCGGGATTAGCGGGGGCAGGTACAGTAATAAAACTATCCAAAATACCAAGAAGACTATGTGACACCAAAAAAGACTCAAATTGAGTCCTCCACGGGAGGTAATCCTCAACAGCATCAAGCCGAGTAGTGACAATATTTGTCACATTTGGAGTAGAAAAAGTTATCTGCGAGGCTAAGGATGACAAGGAAGTGGGAGAAGCCATAAAACCTGGAAGTTGAGAAGTGTAAGCGGGCTGCATAGGGTATGCGCCAGGCTGACCAGAAAGAGTGGGAACAGAAAATTGGGGCAT